TATGCAAGGATCTCATGTATATATTGTATTATTTATGAATTATATTAAGAGGTCGGAAAAACGCACGTTCTCGATTCTCGAGCACGATCTTTTTCCATTCTCGCGAGGCACAGTAACTTATTCGCCAGGTTTTCACAATCGCAGAACTATTGTGTCGCAGCCACTGTCACGAAGTTTCACGGTAGATTTGGTAGAATAATCCTGATTTTTTATCCAATTCTGACTTTTTCGTGCATTTAGCTTATTATTAGTCGAGAACGGACGTCATTTAATAGACGAAAAGTAGCGTACTCAGTCATCTCGTCGTGATGTTCGTGTAGACGTTCGTCTGCGTTCTGCGAGTTGGAGGAGAAAAATTGTGTAACTAAAATTATCGCGTGTTTCTCGCCGCTTTCTCAAAATAGACCCACTGGAGTGCTCCGCGAGCACAAACACCTCGTGCAAGCGAATCATTCGAGCGAGAAGAGACACCGATGTACATTTTTTATATGTAATTCACCAAGAAAACAGATGTTCGTTTTACATCATGAAAATAAAACAATGGATCGCTCGTGTACGCTCCTTCCATATGAAACATTGGTCGTAATTTTTATTAAAAGCTAGTTATAGCTTTCCTATGTATTCACATATATGATTACGATATAGATATCTTTAAATATGTAATCACATTTAAAATTCAAATATGTAATCTTTTAATATTTCCAAAATTATTAAGTGGGAACAATACAAAAAAATACAAAAAGAATAAAACAAAATTGTAGAAAGGGAAAAATCAGTCATTTAAGTAAATCTGTTATTTTTATCATACAAATAATGAAATTATATCAAATAAATATGCTTAGTATTCAAAAATTTATTGCAACTGATGAATATAACTAATGAAAATATTTCAATACATTGTCTGCGCCAAGAAGTAAGATTGTGTGATTCATAACTTATGACTCATATAGTATATGTATATATTTCAGGAGATAAAGAGATACATTATTTTTTCCGTTTTTACATAATCAATTATGTATGTACGTATATATATATGTATATAATATATACGTATATATATGTATATATACATATGTATAATTTATCGACAAAATTATGTATTCTATTCTTTCATCCGCGTTTTTCGAGATTATGTATTATAAACTTCACGGTTCTCTGATATTTTCTAATTCTTCTTTTTACATTTTCTGCCCAATTTGGAAATTACTCTTATGAAAAATTACGTATCTCGTATTTAAATAATTAATTTCTTAATTCGCAGAAGTTACAAAAAATTATTTTAATGAACGCTTTCTTCTTTCGAGATCGTGAGATTTGTACGAAGGTTACGTATTAAGTATCACAAGCGAATTTCCCATTGACCGAAATCCAAGCGGAAATCCCTTGGCATCCTGCCGCGCCAACTTGATTAATTAAGGCCGATGTAGTAAGTAATAAGTATAATGTACAACGATCGAGATACGTATTTATAAACGTTTCGATCTAACAGCGTATCAAAGATGACTCTCGTTCTTCTGTCTAAATTAATGCATCCTCGAGATTCTTTGATTGTTTAGGGCAAGCACCAAATGGTCTCGGAGATAGTATTGTATCTTCAAGTAAAATTCTTCGGTCAATTAAGACTATCTAAGAAATAAATATCCTTCTCGTCGTTTGATCTCAAATACTAGAATAGTATAAAAACTTATTAATTAATGATCTTATTGTTAGCTGTAAATTTAACAGACAGATTTCTTATTATATTTGTCTTAAAAATGAACAGTAAAATCGAATAATATTACAGAATGAAATATACGGGAGATTTTTGTACACAAAAAAGAATTATCTCCAAAAATATTCACTGTATATGTTTCTATCATAGAAAGAAAAAGATAAGAAAGATAAGAAAGATAAGAAAGGTTCTTTAGAACAGGATAGAACCTATTCTAAATATACATATTGGTATAATAGTAATTTGATTCTCACATAAACTACATTCGATGTGCTTTCGATATGGGCAAAGCCTCAAGTTTCAAGTTTTATCAGGAATGCTATCAGGAATAACAATATACAAAAGTTAGACTATACAACTGATCCATACGAATAGCTTTAAAGATATAAATCCAAAATTAGGCTCTAAGATGAAAGTTAAATATATTTTGACAATATAATTTTATTTAGTTTTGTGTAAAATTTAATTCAAATAAATGTGTATGATATTGTTGGAAGTTATATGTGTAAAATATATTAACATAATTAAGTAATTACTGAGTTTAGTCCTTACATATTTACATGAATATTACGAGGAAACTTTTAGAAGAAAATCGATTAGAAATATCGATTAGATTTCCATATATAGATTCTAATACAATTGTTAAGGAGAATGTCTACTCGATTGTTCACGTGAATTCTACTTGGATAATCTATGTGACAGAGACATCAATTCCACGTACTCATTTCTATTCTCATGGGATAGTAAATATTTGCAGGTATGTCAGAAAAACATTTTATTCATCGAAATCAGGTAAGAAGTCAAAGCTCATAATTATAATGTTTCAAAACCAAACTATTTATTAATCTCATTACATTAGACATGAATGAACATTATCTCACTTGATAAAACACTAAAATAAAAATTTTTAATTTCATCATATTTATACTTTTTCACACATTTAAACTATCAAACATCGTCTTCGTAATAGATTATCTCTAAACATTTGATATAAATAAGGAAAACTTTATATTTCGCTGGATTTCTCAGCGAAAAATTGCTCTTATAGGAAACGCCGATTGCATAAAAATTATGTCACGAATTATCGATTGCACAATTATTCAGTATCTTTTCTTGTCTCTTCGCTGTGAGATATATTCCGAGGAAGTTTTAAAACATCGCAGGTTTAGACAATAAGATGTTACATAAATCTTAGTGCTTTCGAATCGACTGTGAAAGCCGATAAACATTATACCGGATGTGCGACTTATACATATTCACTTGTGATATCTGTTGATTAAGAGTCTACGTCTAATTATAAAGACTCGCGTTTGATTGCGCGAATTTAGCATACGTACTTGTAACTCGCAACAATTAAAACTACGCGTCTCTTTATTTTTTTTCTTTTTATCCTCGCTATTTGCGCCTAACGAATGGTAGGCGCGAATAGATAAGATTAGTAAATTGCAATGAAGCGACGATACAATCCACTATCGCGCGAGAGGAAAGTAATTATGCGATAACTCTGCAATAATTTCATAACTCTCGAATCAAAGAAATTGATTGAAGATTAGTTAGATTAACACACGTCAACATGATAATAAAAAATATCATTACAAAAATATGTACTATAAACATCAGATCTATGGTTGTTTTCATACGACATTCTATATACATCCAGCTCGACATTCAGAGAACATTTTAAAAAATAGAGATATCTTATAAACGACTTTAGGATATCTTTTGGAAGTGTTATATGTAGAAATTATAAATCAAGATTTAAACACAGAATTTTGGAGAACTTGTAAAATCTATGAACAGATTTGTTTGAAAATCTCAAAATACGACGTATTTTATATTACTACATTTGTTGCTTTTATAATTTTTATGAAAATACCTCATCAAATTAATAAAGATATTGTTTCATTATTCAACCCATTGATAACAACTTGTAATAATTTTTATACGACTTTCAAGCGGAGTATTGTGCAATATTAATCCTTCTTAATTAGAATGTTATTAATAAGTAAAGAGACATATTTTATTAATAAGTAAAAGGACAGTATTTCTCAGAAATACTAATCTCTTTGCTTATTAATAACATTTTATTTAATTAGAAATTTTTTTATATTTGAAAAAACGAAGGTTTTAAGTGCGCATAACATTAAATTATAGTGTAAGTTGAATTTTAAAATTAAAGGTTAAAATTTTGTTTAACCACATAAAAATGGTAAATATAGTAAAAAAAACGATGTTCATACACAAATTTTTATATATATCTACTTTCCAATTTCAATTCGTCAATTTGGATTCGCCATTTTACATTTTATTATAGAAAACGTTCGTAACTCGATGAAAAAAAATCGCACAGTAAAAAATGAAAATTCCTTTTAAAGGCGAAGAACAGCTTTAAAATAGCGTTAATGAGATTGAAAAATAAAATTTTGTTTAATCATAAAAAGATTGTAAATACGACAAAAAAACGCTGTTTTTTTACTCATATTACCCGATTTATCTCAAAAATCTGATGTGATGGGTATTTTTTGTTAGCGGATTAGCATTCGGCAAATTCAAATTTACTAAGAAAATACTGACTCTGCTCGCCGCAGATTTTCTTGTTGGACTGTGTTATCTAAACATGTTTTTATCAGTATTAATGAAGTGCAATAATTTCCAAGAAATAAGAGAAATATGTCTTTTTAAGAAACCTATATTAATATCGGCGACTTTTTCCTCTATTTTTCAAAAGAAAATAAATTTTAAGGACACTTTAATGAGTTTTTCCTCAAATTTGTAATAATACGCGTATTTAAAGATTATTATCAAGAAAATATTGTTTGTTAAAAATGACCATTACTTGATAAAAAGTAAATTGAGTAATCACTTCAATTTTTTCCAATTAGAATAATTACAATTAATAATAAAATGACATTTTTCTGTGTATACATACTCGATCTCCCTACTTCTGAGTAAGGAATTGAAGGAGGACACAAAAGATCGAGCTGCATTTAAATTTGTTCGAGAATCAAAGAAACTTGAAGAGCGAATGCGTCTCCGTTTGAAAAGCAGCGCCTCTATCAAACTCGAACGAACATTCCATACGATCCGCATCTTTCATTGCGCATCCTCGCCTCTTTCTCTTTCTCCCTCTCCTCCCGCAAATTCTCTTTTCCCTTTCTTCGCTTCACGATCGCATCGTTCTCTCTTTCTCCCTCTCTCGTTCGATCGTATCACCCTCTCCGTTACTCCTTCTCACATTGTATAAACTAACCTACACATTGGTCGAACGTTCCCTCTCTCTTCGGTAGGCTATAAAAGGGGCGGTCTACGGCGCAACGCGCGTCAGTCGTCACGACGTAGTGTTGTAGTACGTGGTGATATCGTAAACGCGAAACAAAAGCGGACCTAATCGAGCACGGAAGCGGCGTGATAAGAAAAGCGAGAGCGGTCGAGTGCGGGTAACGGGGGGACGCGACGCGCGTCTCCGAGATCGTGATCTCGCATTTAATCACCACGGCGTCGGTGGTGCCTTTGTCCGCGGCTCGACTCGGCGGCATGAAATAACGACGGACCGGAAAGAACCATCGAGGCGGCAGACAGCGACGACGTCCTGATTCGAAGCGTCCGTGCTCAGTCCTCAGTGTAGGCTAGTCGGTCGCTCGGCGGTCGTTGTCTTAACGTCGAACCATCTACGACGAAATTCCATCCATCCGATAGACGAACGGTGTGGAGCCAAGGTGGAAAACTATTCTGGAGACGACGAGGGTTTGAAAAGAAAAACAAAATAACACGACTCTGCCGAATGCTCTTCCATTTGTCATTGCGGACCTGTAATCTCAATTTCATCAATCAACGTTGCGACGATAACGTCATCTTCCTCGAGGCGAGAAGTGTTGTTTCGGCAAACGAGGTTATCTCCCGGTAGGCACCTGGAGATTCGGTCTTCGATTCGTCATCGATTTGAGGTCGTCCACGTGCGCGATTTCATCACGAGAGGTTATTCCCGTCCGGGTTAGGCGTTGACACGTTTATTATTATCGACGACCCGTTTCCTGGCACGAGCTATTCCGAGGAACGTCAAGGATCTTGACGGAGCATACGACAACAAATATGGCCGCCGTGGCGTCGTACGCGTGCACTCACAACTGCACGGACGCGGAATACCCGCCGTCCTGCGACATCCTCGGAGGCACCGACGAATGGCTGCCTTGGTATGAGATCGTGGAGTATCTCTCGTACAATCCGTGGATATTCTCCCTTCTGGGAAGCACCATGGTCGGCCTCACGGGTATCTTCCCCCTATGGCTCATCCCCATCCAGGACGGTGTGGATTTGAAAACTGGCGGTTAGTTGTCTCCTCGTGCAACTTAACTTTCCTCGTCCATTGTCTTATAAGTGGCACAACGTATGAGAGGAAGTTTTATCTAATCTTCGCTCTATCTCGTTGATTCGTAATTTGCCGAATAATTTTTTTAATTACACAATTCGGCTAGATCTAGATATGATTAACGAAGAAGAAGGAATATCACACACACAAGTTTAGTTTCTCCTGGCTCTGTAATCTCTTGACTCTGTGGCCGAGTAAAATCTTTTACTTTTCCTAAAATTAATAATTACTCTTTTATCCTTGGATGTGCACAACGAAATAAAAAAGTGAATATCAAATTTAGTTTCTGGTTATGACCGAATAGAATTTTTTATTGAAAAAATATTGTTTATTTAAATTTTTAGATTATTGGTGAAAACACCTACTCCCGGATGGTAAGGAGTCAAGATTCGGCTAGGGTGATATTTTTCGCAAGAAATTCTTTGCAATAGTTTAAAAAATATATCTAAATGTTTAAACGGACTCTCAATCTTAAAATATTAATAACAAAGATATTTAAGGCTAATAAGAGTCAGCGCGGGAGGAGATGTGCACAATTATTAAATTCTAAAAAAATTTACTTCCATTACACGATGTCTTCTTTATTTCGAAATCTTGAACGCAATAATTTAATGCGTATCAGCATCATTATTAAAATTTAAATTATCGTGATATTACGACTCCAGCTTTAGTTTAAGACTATGTTTCAAAACCGAATCGGTGCGCAATAAATAATCGATGCGCAAATTGTATGTGAAACTGAAAAATGTATATAAAATTCATGCAAAATATTATTAAGCACCAAGATCCGTTTTGATTGAATAAGGTTGTTGTCTTATTAGGATTTCATATCTTTTCCATTTTAATAATTAATTATTTATACGTATACAACGTATACAACGAAATGAAGAAATGAATATTAAGTTTAATTTTCTGGCTGTGGCTGAATAAAATTTTTATTTTTTAATAAAAATTTTAGCAAATTTGCCTTAATTGCGATTTCTCTTGCTTTGCATTTCAATTTTAAATAATAATTGCATAATAGTTATTAATCTAATCCGACTTTATTATCCATGGCAAAACTAAATTTTAGAAAGACTATATACTTCAGTATTCATAAATTTAGTGTCGCAGATTAATATTTTATTAATGTATGTCGTAAGAAATTTATCGAATATATTGAACGGGAAAAATAAGGACTTTAGTCGGTGAGCTGTTTTCATGGAAAAGTTGAAGAATTGGAGACTATATGGTTACGAACTTGATGATTATGTGTAAAATATAAGTGTAGCTTATATAAACGAATACGAGGTAGTCGGATTTCTTATCAAAGTACACAAGTTTAATATTTAATACCACTGTTTTTCTGATAAAACTCTTCCTACTCATAGATATAAGAATAGACTACACATTCCCATGGGAGGAACGTCACTACCGGTTTAGAAAGAAATAAGATAGCTTGAATTATATCGCTTTCTTTGAGTTGGAGAGAGATGCTGATATAATTCAATTCTTTCTAACGGAACACAGATGCTAAGATGGAAACTGCGCAGTTTGTATCTATTACGTTTATGGTTGTACCAACAAATTGCTTTATACGTACAAAATTCGTATAAATTCGAAAATTCTCGATATATTAATTTATTCGTCTCATAATTTTTTTTTTAAACTGAATAATGCTATACACAATGACTGATTAACATTAGACATAATAAAACTGAAGAATTTTACACACAATGCGCGGCACAAAAGATCGTTACAGTGATTATCGCATATTTACACAATCGCGGAACAGGAGGATGGCACATGTTTTATGATGTCATTCTTGTTTTTCCGAACATCATAAATTAGTAATTGTGTGACGATTCTCGTTAATAACGCACGATTATCTTGACAAAAACTATTAGCCTTTGATTGATCGGCGTATACAGTTCAAGTTGTGCCACGTGATAAACTTGTGGTTGAAATTGTGAAATTCAATTATCTTGGCTTCGAAGGTCTTACAGAACATAGATTTCCAAATTTCCTCGTATTGTTCCATAACGCTTTCAAACTGTGTGTATAAATTGAATGTTGATTTAACTTTGACTAGTTTCTATTCTTAGTTCGATTATTGTCTTCTTTTCAAAGTTTGAAATGACAATTCTAATAATTTTCCGTGCTTTCTAGTATTTTCTCATTTCGAACTAACTAATTGTAACTGAAATGTTATTGTTAACATCTAATGACTTCTGATACAGAAGCTATAGTAACTTCAAACAAAGCACATGGTTTAGTATTTAAAAATCTTCGTTCAAAAAATTGCGGTCGTTACTGTTATGCAATTGGTAATTACGACAGGTTAATTTACACAATTAATGAAACTTAATGGATCAGACATGATAGAAACGAGAGAGGGAATAAATTAAATTATTTTCGTTTATATTATAATTGATTTCTGCATGTTGTGTTCTTATATAGTAAAATCCGTTATATTGAACTCAACATTTTTTTCTTATCTTCGCAATGCAGAAAAACTATAGTTATCTGCCAATATAACTATTCTATTATCGTAATAAAAACAAGTCGCATTTTCCTTAATGGCAAGAACGAATGGCAGGAGCGATTATTTGTTGAAGTTGTCGCGAAGAACGAGCTTTATAAACACAATTAAAAATGGAATGGCTTTAAATACGCTATTTATAAAATACAGGCGGAGAGAGAGAATTTCACTTTTTAATATTCATTATGTCAATGTATAAGTAAACGCATTCAAATGTAGTTTTTTTTCACAAACACACTGCTTAACATGTTAATTAAATACAGATCCGGAGGCTACGTATTGTACATTTAAGTGACATGATTATATAATCATACCTCGTACTTGTTTCAATGCTGGCAAGATAGAATAACAGAAAATGTCGGGAAATGGGAAGATAAGTAAGTTAATCGCGACATTAATTTATCGCACAAACGGGAAATAGTTTCTGACTGATTACAAAATTGTATATTTACTTAATTTGAAGCTATTTAATTTATTTACGTAAGAAATGTTGCAAGTAAAGCATAAAAATGGCTTCACATATGCGTATAGACGTGTACCTATTTCCAACAAAATTTTATTGTACGCAATTAGATATCATTCAATAATGATAGCTGCATTCGCACTGGTTTAAAAACGATCGGTATCGCCACGTCTTGAAATTTAACTACGCACAAGGCAACGGGATGTCTGTTGTCGACGATGACTGCAGATAGCTGCCAACAAAACAAAGTATATAACGTTTTCACTGAGAATTGCGAAATAATGGGAAATTTGATGAATATAACGCTCTTAGTTCATTTGTATTTATCATTCTGATAAGTAACAGCCGGTTCAACGACATTACGAAAGACGTCGATTCTCCTCCGACTCGATAAAATTAGTCTTAGCATGTGGTATAAAATCGATAAGTTAATTCTGTTCGATGAATTACCTATTGTGCGATTTGAATGCCATATATCATTAATATCGCAGCATATTAATAGTTAAAAATAATTTTGTATACATTATTTTAATACAGCACACAGTTTTTAATATCGCTTTTTAGAACCTCCCGCAATACTTTTGAAAAAGCGAAAAATATCTCAAAAGCTTTATCAGTTCGTTTACACAAAATGAACGCTATATTAACATAAAGCAACAGAACTAAAGTTAACGCATTTCAATATTTTTCTGTAAAAACTCTTTTCAAGAGAAGAATATACCTATTTTTTCGTCCGTTTAATTGGTTTATTATAATGAATCTCAACGCAAACATATACATAACATATATTCCAAATTATAACATTTTAAATTTGAAATGCCTACTTGTTTGAAAACTTGGACTGTTTTGGTACAGTTATTCGTTCAGAGTTTCTTTTAGTTGAAGGTGACCGTAATCTGAAAAACAGCCATCGCACAAAGCTTTTGTACGGTCGCAACTGGACTGAAAAAAGAGGAAGCTGTCTCGCACACGTATCTGCGTTACATACATCTTTCGTGATAGCTTTGGAAAAGCGAAAAATATCTTCTCACAAAGCTACAGTTCATTTATACAAAAACGTATGTTAGCTACACACCGATGTCAAAAATTTCGAGCTTCTACATCGTGTCGAATCGCACCTCTCTCGACAAAACCAATATCTGAATAATATTTCACGAAAATGTGTCCGGTATTCAAAATTCCATTCGTGTCGGTAGTGTTTCACGAATTTGTGGATGCAAATCTATAACAGTGACAATTGGAATCTATAGTATTCTCGACCATCGCTAACTTTAATTAACTTTCGCACGCGAATCACGTCGATACGTCGACAGCGTGAAATGTCCATTTTGCATCCGTTAGTTTTCCCTCTCCGGAGATAAATGACACATTGTTTTCTCACAATCGAGACGATAAGTGGTATCCATTATTCGCTAAGACGCCTAAGTCGATCGTACAACATAACAGAATTTATCGAGAGCAAGTGATTTTAATTGGCTAGATAAACATGTTTTTAACACGAATAAAATTAAGGGATCGCAATTGAAAATTGCAAAAACTTTTATTTTTGTTTTTAGCGTTTCAAATGTTAAAGATATAGCTTGTTAGAACTCTTATAGCACTAAAACTTTTAACAAAATTCCAGAAATCCGAAATAAAAATGTATTTATGAATCCTTTGAAAATTTTGATCTAGGAGTTGAAAACAAGAACACTTTTAATTTCATAGCATTATAAAATTAAATTTATAGAATTAAAAGTTTCAAACAGGAGTTAATAAGTAATATAATCAAAATAGGTTATTATTGGTTGCGTTCAGCAGAAAAAACAGCTTTGCAATTGTTATAAAATTCTTTAATATGATTGGTCTTGCCCTTAGTTCCTCATTGGATCTAAATGTATAAACCAATCATGTTCATGAATTTTACAATAGTTGCAAAGCTGCTTTTTCTGCTGAACGCAGCCATTAGCTGTGGAGCATCTAAAGATCTGTTGT